GAGAGAGAGAGAGAAACCAATACATTTGTCTGGTTCATAATCTCAGATGTATGGGCCTGCATATTTTTCTGATTTATAATACCCGATGGTGTTTTATCATCAAATTCAAGCATCAAAGAGCTTTCCTTTGAGGACCCTTGTCTTGTTTTCAGATTGTTCACTAATGTTCAAGTGGTGTCTCCAAAGAATGTGGCAGTTTTTATCCTGACCTCAAAAAATAGAAGTTTCTTCCTTTTTTAAAGAAATAGGTGCTGTTTGATTTTGTTTGCAATGTTGGAATTAATTTACATTCCAATCACAGTGACATTATTTAAGTAGCACGGGCTGTAATCAAGAATTAAAATCATCCTAGCTTAATTTAGATAGCCCAAATGGTTCATATGCCATTGTTCCTGGTGTTTCTAATATCTTACCATGCATATGGTTCAGGGATGGCCAGTGTGCCGAATATAGTGGTGAGGAGCAAGCCATTTGTGCTGTGGGGCTAGGCAAATCCAAGCCAGGAATTTTCGTTGAAGCCATACAATATGTTTTGATATTAGCAACTCCTGTGGAAGTAAGTATATCTATATGTCTCTTGTTTTAGTTTAGTTGCTTGTGTTTCTGATGCAATTGTTGCTCATGTATTTAGACTTTTTCCTTCATGATATCCTCCTCTAAACTTAGTCTTATTCGTCTAACGTGTTTATAGGACTGGACATTCCCTCATCCTTTTAAGCTTGAAAAACACATTTATCTGTTAACTGTCAGAGATATTCCCATAAATTTTTCTATTTCCCTGCAGTGCAATCTGACAGATGTCTAGCTCTTTTCTTGGAATGAAATCCTTGTGATTGGTTAGTTCAGTTGCTGTGAAAGTATCTAATTGGGTTTATTTTCATCATTTATTTGGCCAACCCTGCTTATTTGCAGTTAGTATCTTTTGGTTGTTGAGTGCTTCATCTTTTTAAATGCGCATCATCTTAAACCTGGATAGGTCTTTGAAATTGTCTTTATTGCTGTAATATTATTTCTGAAGAAGCTGGAAGAGCTGTTGACGTACGCATTCTTTATGGTGACCAGCTGATTCTTTTAGGAATATGCTGCACTGCAAGTGGTGATGGAGCAGATCCATATGCAGAGGTTTCATTGCAACCCTTGCCAGAATACACAATACCCTCAGACGGTGTGACTATGACTTGCATAACTTGTACTAATAAGGGGCACATTTTCCTTGCTGGACGTGATGGCCACATTTATGAAATGCAATACACTACAGGTTCTGGATGGCATAAACGTTGTCGTAAAGTTTGCCATACTGCCGGTCTAGGAAGTCTTATTTCTAGGTAGAATCTCTTTACACCGTGTAACTTGTCTGTGCTCTTTTAACATTTCTGAGGGGTGTTACTTGTAAACCTCTGTTTTAGTTGATCAGATTACACATTTTGCTCTTACAGGTGGGTCTTACCAAATGCTCTTAAGTTTGGGGCTGTAGATCCGATTGTTGGTATGGCAGTTGATAATGAAAGGTATATTCTGTATGCACGAACTCAAGAGTCAAAACTTCTGGTTTATGATCTGGGCATAAATGGTGATGGCCCACTTAAAAAAATTGCAGAAGAAAGGACTTTGCTTGATCAACGAGATACCCAGTATGGAGGTGGTCGGTCTGCAGGGTCAAGAGCTGTTTCGCGATTATCAAAGGCATCCATTGTTTGTATAGCACCGTTGTCTTCATTGGAATCAAAATGGCTGCATCTTGTTGCTGTTCTCTCAGACGGTAGAAGGCTGTATCTTTCCACTGCCCCAGCTGGTGGAAATGGTGGTTCTGTTGGAGGTTTGGGTGGGATGAGTAATACTAATCAAAGGCCTTCTTCCTTAAAAGTTGTATCAACACGACCCTCTCCTTCTGTTGGGTTTGGTAGTGGACTTTCATTTGGAACAGCATCTATGCTTGGGAGGCCACAAACTGAAGATCTGGTTCTCAAGGTCGATGCAGCTCACTGTTCTTCTGGGACTCTTGTACTTTCTGATTTCTTAGCCCCAGCAACCTCCTCCCTTTTGGTTGTGAGTAGGGACTCAACTACACAATCATCCCACTCTGGTAACTTTAGCTCAGTGTCTTCCAGAAGTTCTCGTGTACTACGAGAAACCGTCTCTTCTGTTCCAGTTGATGGTCGAACACTTTTTGTGGTTGATGTCTTTCCCCCCCCAGATACTGCAGCTACTGTGCAATCTTTGTACTCAGAATCTTTTGGGGTTGGAGCTCTGGGGGAACCTCCTGAGAAGGCATGCATACAACTTCGAGCCAGAGGAGACCTGGCAACTCAACATGTCTTACCGAGAAGAAGGGCAATTGTGTTCACCACTATGGGCTTGATAGAAGTGGTATCCAATAGACCTGTGGATATTTTGCGAAGGCTGCTAGAATCGAATGCACCAAGAACTTTGTTAGAGGATTTCTTTAATCGTTTTGGAGCTGGGGAGGCTGCAGCGATGTGTTTGTTGCTTGCCGCAAAGCTTGTTCCTGTTGAGGATCTTCTAATAAGCAATGCAATTTCTGAAAAAGCTGCTGAAGCATTTGAGGATCCAATGGTAGTTGGAATGCCACAGATTGAAGGTTCCAGTGCATTAGCAAGTACAGTAACTCCTCCAGGAGTTGGCTTCAACATGGGTCAAGTTGTTCAAGAGGCTGAGCCCATATTTTCTGGTGCTCATGAAGGACTATGTCTGTGCTCATCCAGGTTGCTTTTCCCTGTGTGGGAGTTTCCTGTTATGGTTGTCAAGTGCGAGGCAGGCCTTGAAGTGGGACTTGGAAAAGGGGTTATAGTGTGCAGGCTATCAGCAGAAGCAATGAATGACCTAGAAAGCAAGATTCGCTCCTTAGAGCTGTTTTTACGTTCTAGACGTGATCAGAGAAGGGGGCTCTATGGTTGCGTAGCTGGCCTAGGAAACTTCACTGGTTCTATATTGTATGGAAGTGGCTCTGACATGGTAATGGGAGAACGAGGCTTGGGGAGGAATTTGTTTGGATCTAGCACTCCAAGTGGAGAAAAGGGAAGTGTTGTGACTACATCCAATAAAAGGCAACGGCTTCCATATAGTCGGGCAGAACTTGCTGCTATGGAGGTTATCAAAACACTCATTTTGATATTCTAATTGTTTACATAGTTTATTTCCTCGTGTTTACCTTCTTGTTGTAGAGTCTCTTTTCTTACTCCATTCTGATTCCTTTGATCTGAACTTGTTCTAGCACTAGCTGTCCCTATCTCTAAAAGTTTCCTTATACAGGTGAGGGGAATGGAATGTGTTAGAAGATTGCTAAAAAGATCGGGTGAAGCACTCTTCTTACTCCAACTTCTTTCACAGCATCATGTTGCTCGTTTGGTTCAGAGTTTAGATATAAGTGTACGCCAGAAATTAGTGCAATTGACATTTCAGCAGCTGGTATGCTCAGATGAGGGTGATCAGGTGGCCACAAGACTCATTGCTGCACTCATGGAGGTATTGCACTATTTGCTAGTTTGCTATTTAAAAGGCAGGTGGCCAACTATTCAGTGCTTTGCCCCCCCGAGACGGCCCCAAAAAAAAGGCTATACTAAACTTTATTGACATTTGATATTTATTTAGATGTTAAATGCAGGCGGTAGTTTTCATTCTCATATTTCTTACCTTTGCTTAGATAGTAAATGAGACTTTTCAACTTCCCAAATCCTTACTGTGGTCTCTTGGTAATTCCAGTACTATATTGGCCCCGATGGCAGGGGCACTGTTGATGATATCAGTGGGAAGCTTCGGGAGGGCTGTCCAAGTTATTATAATGAGTCTGACTACAAGTTTTTCCAAGCAGTAGAGTACCTTGAAAGAGCTGCCGTTACTAGTGATATGGAGGAGAAAGAAATGCTTGCCAGGGAAGCTTTTGCCCTTCTAGTTGAAGTTCCAGAGTCAGCAGATCTCGGTGCTGTGTGCAAGCGTTTTGAAGACTTAAGGTCAGTCTTGTCTCTCTATGATCATAGATATAGCCATAACTGATCCTTTAAATACTTATTGAATCATTTTGGAGACATCCGATAAATTGGAACGATAAAGAGAAGATTAGCATGGCCCCTGCACAAGGATGACATGACAAATTGAGAAATAGTCCAAATTGTTTTCTTAAAAAAAAATAAAATCCAATTGAAGCCCAATTTATAACATTTGAACTGATATAATGTGAAGTTTAGTGAAGAGTGGACTGTAGTCGATGTACTGAAACAGATCTGAAACCTATGCCATACATGATCAAATATTTAACCCATTAATACAGGGAAAAGTTAAAACTGAAAAAAACTTTTTGACTTTTTTGGTAGATTGTGTTAATGCGTAGCTACTCTTATCAATGTGAATGCTTAGACATAAAATGGTTTACATTTTTCAACAAATGGAAGCATTTCCTTTGGGGATGCATGAGGTTGTGGGCTCAAGAAATTCTTGAGATGAGAGAGAGTTTTAAGTGTCATCCAAAAAATAGGCTTTCCCACAGATTGGGAGCTGTATACAAAAAACAGCTGCCCGCATGGTGGGAGCTCTGTACAAAAAGCACAAAGGCTGCCCTCATACGAGTAGCCCTATACAAAAAATAACCGAGGCGGTTAGGTAAACACTAGATGCAAAATTCTCCTACGCTTAGTGTCATGCTATGCCGATGGAGCTCGTTCCTTAGCGAGGGTTTCAGCCTCGTGCCAAATATGCCTCCATGAGACGTCCATATCCCTGCAAATATGCGTAATTTCGTGAAAAATGTGTTAGTGACCATGGGCAAGGAGATGCAGCGAGGCCCAACGAATCACATTCTTGGAATCTCCCTCAGTGATCATGGATGGGCTCCACTGTGGTTTGAATAACCTGAGGCCCTCGAGCAAAGCTAGTGCCTCCGTAGTTTGGGAGTCAAAATGTCCAATATGTTTGGAAAAGGATAGAAGGGATTGACCTCTGTGGTCTCTGAAAATTCCCCCAATGCATGTGGGTCCAGGGTTGCCAAGGGAGCAACCATCAAAATTCAGTTTGATTTGTCTTGGGTTTGGGGGTCTCCACACAGAGGTCCGGGGGACATGAGATGGTGTAGAAAATAGCATTGCTTGCCAGTCTTGAATAAAGGCCGATTGGGTGTGTAGCCCTTAAAGTGATTGTGGTTAACTGCCAAAAAAATCACCATGGATGTAATCTTGTCAAATAGGTGTCTCAACAATAATGTTTTCCATCAGAAGATTCTTTTATTTCTCTCGGTCCGGATGACCTTGATAGTTACCTCAAAAATAGCCTTCCACATGATGATGCCAGACTTTGGCCAAGGGAATGGGTGAAGGGGTCGAAAGAGAGACAAGATTGAATGAGGAGTAACCCACTACCACTTGAATAACCGAAGAATGGCACCCCAAAGGTCTTGAGCTAAAGGGCTTAGATGAATAGGTGATGTTGCTTTTGTTGTCTGACTGGCACATCACAGATCTTTTGGAGATGCAATCCCCTTTTTTGAAGTTGGTCCACCGTGAGCACTCGTTCCGATAAAGCAATACAATTGAAAACTTGGATTCTAGGGGGAGCGATAGAGGACGAGGCTTGAGCAGCAATAGAAGTGGGGGCTAGAGGAAAGGTGGGTGGTTGGAGCAGTTTGTGGTAAAAGGAAGAGATCGAAAAGGTCCTTGAGGGCGAGGGGCATCACAAAATGTGGTGGGGTCCCTGTAGAGCGAGAAAGGTAGAATGGAGAATGGAAGAAAGATGGATAAAATCAGCAATCTTCGGATCTGTGAGAGGTATCCAGAAAGTGGGATTCCAGGTTCAAGAGGATCCAGAGACCACCAATTCATCGGTGACATTGGCTAACTGGTTCTGGGTGAGGCCAAAAAGGGATGGAGATCTTTGAGGGGTGTGTGCCCAATCCAAGTTCAATCAAAATTTAATGTGTCGCCCTTCTCTGGGTGGAAATGAATAAAGTTTTTGAAGAGACTATAAGAGGAGAGGATGGATTTCCAGGCCCCTAAAACCCCACTGTTGGTTCTAGAATTGGGCATCCAGATGGAGAGGTTGAGGTGATATTTTTGACAGATTAGCTGGATTGACAACTGGTTCTCCAGGGTAGCAAGACGCCAGGACCACTTCCCAAGGAGGGTTGTGTTATGCTTTCTCAGATCCTGGGTGCGGGGCCTCCAAGACTTTTGTACTGGCATACTTTCTCCCATGATATGAGATTGAATTTTCTACTGCTAGCATCACCAGACCAATGGAATTGCTTCATGAGTTGCTGGAGTCTATTCTTCACGGCTGTGGGCATGTGAAAGATCGACAGTCGGTACACCGGGATATTCGAAAGGGTGGCCTTTATGGGGGTAGTCCTTCCTGCCTATGAGAGAAAATGTCCCTTCCACCTGCAAGTTTCCGGTTTACCTTGACTCTAATGTGGGACTGTTGTCTGTTCTTCGGTTTGCTGATACAAAGGGGTAGGCCCAGGTAGTTTGAAGGAAGAGTTTATGCTTGGCATCCCCAGTTGGCTGCAAAACGTTGTGTAGTTTGGAAGTCCATGGCCACCCCAATCATCTTAGATTGGCTAAGTTAACCTTGAATGCAGTAGCGAATTCACAACATTTGAGGAAGAGAAGGGTATTCAATTTCTGGAACGAGGCTCCACAGAAGACAAGGGTGTCATCTGCGTATTGCAGGTGTATGACCTCTGGGGACCGAAGTCCACACTTGAATCCAGTCAATCTCCCAGTTTGAAACATGCGGGATATAGACTTGCTAATAATTTTGGCAGCAATGGCAAATAAAAAAGGGGACAGGGGGTCACCTTGCCTAAGACCCTTGTTGAAGGAAAGAATCCCTTCGTAGATCCATTGATAAGGATAGAAAAGTGGGGATCGACATTGCAACCTCTCATCCAAGTTCTCCAACACTTGCCAAACCCCATTCTAGAAAGAGCTTCATCTAGGATAGCCTAGTCGACATGGTTGTAAGCTTTCTCCCAGTGGAGCATGATGATTCTACCAGAGGTTTTGGAGAGGTTCCTAGGATGTATGCATTCATGGGGCAACTAAGACTCCATCAAGAATCTCGAGATCCTTGACAAAGGTCCCTTGGGACAGGGAGATCACCAAAGAGGGAACCTCTCTAAGATGAGTGACAAGGACCTTGGAGAATCTTGTAAGATGATTTTATAAGCCTAATAGGGCGAAAAGTTTTGAGCTGCTTGGCACCTTCAACTTTGGGCACAAGGGTGACGAAGGTGGCATTCATTGCTTTGTGAATAACGCGCCTAGTATAAAATTCTTCGAAAAAAGAAAGAAGATTGTTCCTAAAAGCAGGCCAGAAGACTTTGGATGGAGCCACAGGGAAACTGTCATGGTACAGAACTTGATCAGAGTTAAGGTTATTGGTGGTAGAAATAATTTCTTCTTTTGAGAATGGGTGCTTCAGCCATGAGGTCTGATAAGAGAGAGGGGAAGGGGGGGGGGTAAGGAAGGAAAGGTCTGCCATCCTCGGTTTTGGGTCGGAACGGGTAGAGAAAGGGTGTTTGAAGTAGGAAATGATAGCCTCTTCCACCGGTTGGCTAGTTTTAAAAGCGATTGCTGATCTGGATGTGGGAGATAGTATTATCTCGATGCCTGCAATTGCCTATCTTGTATGGATGTCGATTTTGAGAATTAGAATCTTCTAGCCGGCCATGATTCAACGATTCCGATTCCTAAAATGATTCGGATTCTGAATTGTTTGCAACAATTATGATATGGTTTCATGTTGCAGATGGTATTAGTGCAATTAAGCAAAGGGTTGTGTGTAGTTGGTGTCATAATCGTGGCAACAAAGGTCATGTACTCATTTCCCATTCTAGCAAGTGTGTACATCTCTTCATCATGATCCGGAAATGGATCTTCAATACCAGCTAGTTGATTATACAAGGCCTTCATCTTGTTCAAGAATTAAGTAATTGATGAGGTATCTCACTTGACTTGTTACGATGCCATTTGGAATTAAAGATTATGTGCACTACATGCTTGTGGGTGCAAAGAGTAAAGGGTGTGCCACGAGTCCTTTGCTATAGTTGTCAGGAACTTGAATTAAAATTTCTTGAGATAGGGCGGTGATCATCAAGAAACCAGGGTTTGGTCCAAAGCATTCCATGTAATAAATGCAGGATTTTGAGTTGAAATAAGTTTTTCGACTCCCTTTTTCATGTGTTTCTTTCTTATGAATTTATGGAGAATCGCATCAATCCCTCCAAGATGACCATGAGATTATGACTACGAATGAAGGGGGATATTTGATGTTTCCATACAAGAAAATTTGCGGAGTCGAGTTTGATGATGTGGAGAAGAATGGAGGAGGAAGAAGAAGATCCAACCATGATGTAACTCTATAAGTAGAGTCCACGGTTTTTCTTCACACATGTACGTACGCGCGATATACATACACACACACACACACACACACACACACACACACACACACATATATATATATATATATATATATATATATAG